AATTGTTCTATTTTTTTTATCAACGCATTTAGTTGACCCCATCCCGGATAGGTCCCATCGAGTTGCAGCATGAGGTGAATGGCGCCATATTGGGGAGATCATCTACGTGATGCGATCGCCTTCAATACTTTGTAAACTGTTAAAAGAATGTCGCGAGAACACGTGACTAGGGAAGTCTGCAGTATTTTGCTTGATCATAAGCCTTTTCCTGTAGCAATCTCGAGAGGGCAGGTTTAGGCATGCACCAATTGAGTGGGTTGTTCCTGCCAGGCCGACGGAGCTAAACAGCCTTCTGAATAAGCAGTGGTACATGGCGATACCATGATAATGATTCACCGTCACCAGTCAAGTGTTTCTTTGTAGGTTGGTCTGGCGCACTATGTGAAGTGTCTGGCTCCTCGTTAGAAGGATGTACAAGGACTGAAGACTGCGGAATCGGAGAAAGGTATGAATTTGAGGGAAACGTCTAGGATCTTCAGACCTACCTTCTCGTTTATTTTTGGTGTAGTTGATTCAAATGATTAGTTAGAGTCATTCAAAGTTATAACTTTCATTAATCCAACCTGTCGGCTTCTTTACCTTCGTCAGAACCTTGACTAACGCTGCCGAATGCCAGCGCCCCCACACTTCTAGGGCTCTGCTAGAGGGAAGACATGGTCAAGTAAAGATTGGAGAAGAATCCCAGATGAGCGTGAGGGTTCTAGTATATTGCGAGCGAGGTATGGTTTATCCGATGAAGATCAACATCCTGGTAGTGTATGTTCTTTTTGTCCTTTTCCTTTTTTTCGGTCAGGCTTAGGGCATGGGGGGAAGTGGAAGTAGCTCAAGCTGATCTATGCCGAAGGAGTCTACTACAGGGTGCTGTTTTGGAGGAATTCATCGCCACCCAGGTTAATTTTAGCGGACCCTATCGAGAGGCAGTTTATGCCTTACTTTCCGTACTCTGTAGAGCCATAGTTTGCTCAGGATGAGTGGGATTATCAGCTGTTGAATTGGGCGAATCCTAATATTACCTTTCCGTTGCAGATGTATTGAGAATGATCGAGGCCTCAAAATCTGCGCTGGTGATCCATGCGAGACACGGCCATGTAAGAACAACGCTACATGCGTAACTGACAATGTAAGTTCTCTGCTTTTTTTGATGTTTATTGTCTTTACTTTCTCATGATAATGTTCCGTCAGATTTTTTATTTATAATATTTGTTGGCGTTAAAATCTCTAAGCATTGCGGACTTGATTGTAACTTCTTGAAGAATTCGACCATCTTTTTTCCTACACCTGGTCTTCAATGGGCGAAAAGCCTCGGAGGCATTAGTTCTAGGTAAGACGTGGTGCTTTTGGCATACGCTTGGGATCGCTCAAATGTTCTTTTTCACCACTTGGTTGTTACTAGCATAGAGTATCATACAGGTGTATTGCAGGCGCTGGTACTCTAAATGGTCACGGTATTCCGCAATTGCTGCGCTTTTTTGAAGGGCTACCAGACAGTATGACAGTAACAGTGCGGCAATTTTATCCGTTACTCTTCATTTTAGATTTGATTGGCCGTTAATTGGACTCCCGCGCGGCCTCTCAGTGAGATTAATGGGTCAGGTGTTACGGTTCTCATTGTGGTTATCTCCTCAATCTTGTTCATTTCCCATGGAATAGATTATTGTTCAGTTTTGTCGTTAGTGAAAGGACAATTACTGGGAGGAAATGGAAGGGACAGGGAGAGATATCCCGCCCTGAAAAAAAAAAACTGTTTGAGCGAAGGTTATGTTGGCTTTTAAATAAGCGCAAACCCGCAAACGAGTTCCGTTTCCTCTGTAGTTTTTATTTCGAAGCATCGCATGAGGTGATATCGTGGAAGCTTACAATGCCAAGCGGACTCGTGGTGGACCTGTTTGACCCCCTTCAGTCAATCGATCCCGCATTTTAGCCGGTCCTGAGATCTTGGTATCACTCAACCTGGGCCAGAATACAGTCACATTAACTGGTTGCTCAGGATAACGCCGTTGTTCGCGAAGACAACGCAGGGAGGTTACTTTGGTTAATGGAAGGGGAGTGGTTGTAAGCTCAAGTAACATTCACAAAATTAGAAGCTGCCAAGGGATGGCTAAGTATCAAAGGAGGACAGACTTTCAACTGCCACTGCGACTACGCGCCACAGACGATTGAATGGCGCATCCCAGCGCGGATTTTCTTACCAAAATTATGTCGATGTTCACAGCAAAAAAGCTTTGAAAATATCTGAGAATCTAGATTAATCTATGCTATTGAAAGTAAATGACCATATGCATTTCATTAGTTTTTACCGCTTCTCAATGTACTAACTTTGAGCAACTGACGGCCAATCGTAGGTTGAAAACCGCGCTACAGGAGAATGGCTTAAAAACGCCATAGAGTGAAAACAGGAACAACGGAACGATTTTTGAAAAGAGTGGTCATTTGAAAGAATTTTGATATGTTTTTGAAAGCTTCAGTCTAGTTCCTAATTAGGCTTACATTAGAGATCTGCGAAATGTTACGGCGAAAATTTGTAAAATCGAACCACAGAACTCTCGACGGAAACGCTATTTCTTGTTTCTAATTGCTTAAAATGAAGGGAGACTGGGTGATTTAATGTTTGAAAATCGTCAGTTGCACAAAAGCGGAATAGCGGTGATGATTTTCAAGAACATGTTGAGGCAAAGCGGCGACTTTCATGTCATACCTCTCTATGTTGGTGATGGTGATATATCGTGTGGACTATAAAAGTTCAAAGCACTAGCTAGTTTGTTAGTACAAGGGGAATGAGGTCATGTACCTTCTCGAGAAGGGTGAAGTGGGTGTTCTGCGGAGCTACAAAATTGTTGAAGGTTCTTGTGGCGCCCAAATGCTGTGTATGTCCTGTCGTGTTGTTGTTATTTCGGCTCGGCTTCGAGGGAAGTCATGTGTTGACGTTAAGGTTTGGTCGGGGTTCCTCAGTAATATTTCATTCGCGATTTGCTCTTTTTTTTTAGGTTGTTTATCTGTATTCAGCCATTTATTTCAGTTTCTATTATTTTTGTTTCTGCCGGGGATTGTGTGGTTCCACTCCTATACCTATAGTGGGTAGTGAGATGATACCCTCGGCTCATTCATAGATGCTTGTGAGGTGCCGTTTATGGAGATTTGATGTGTACGGCGACGTATGTTATAGAACACAGAATATATTGCCGCCAACAGAGGCTTGGATCAACACATTGTGAATTGTTATCGATATCTCTGCTTCTGCGATCGCATGTTTTCGCATGTCGATCACTATTTTTCGCCGGTTTGATAGGGAGGAAGCGTCGGTGGATTAGCAGATGAGTACTGATCACACATATTTTGAAGGATTGTTAACCCTTGTAGCTCTCTCTGGAGTGATGTGACACTTGTGATGATACTGGATTATACCCCTTCGGTTCGATGCTGTTATCAGCTTCTTCTCTACTCCGTCCCTCTTTCAATGGACAAAATCTTCATTTCAGGACTCATTTCAATGTGTGTGCCGCACTGGGTTTGCTGGTAAACTGTGCGATTCGGACATCAATGAGTGTGAACTGATGCCGTGTCAACATGGTGGTACATGCATTAATGTGGAAGGCTCATTTGAGTGCCTCTGTGAGGCGAGATACAGTGGTGAGTTGAAATGAGAGGCACATTGTGTTGACGGCACAGTAACCAGGTGCTAGGTGCTGGAAGGTATTCGTTGTGAGAGTTCCGTTTGTGATTTGTTCGATGATACGTTTAAAGCCGATAGCATAGTTGCGAATTGGCTGGATCGAGCGTTGCGCGCGAATCGGAATAGGTACCAGGACTCAATAGTGGCGGGACAACGTTTTAAGAGCGCACTTTCAACAGGTTCTTATGTATGTGACATGGGTTTGAAAGTGGCTGGTTCCTTTAAACTCGCTGGGTACATCGTTCGAGTCGCTGGGCAAAGTTCGATTCGCTGGTGCAACGTTCGATTCGCTGGCGCAACGCTCGGATCCAGCGATTCGCTAGCGAATCGCTCGATTCGCAAACTATGACATCGGCCTAAGACTGCAATGAGTGGAGCCGCTGTTGGCAAAGTGCCTTTGGGGTATGAGCCATGCACATAAGTGAGCCCGAAAGTTCCAAAGTTGATGGCATTTTTTCAAAACAATCAGTTTTTTTGCTCACGGCTCGCCCCTGCATTTGTCCAAATGTGTAGTGGCCGCCGAAGCCTCAACGATGCGCATAACGTCTCTATTTAGACAAAAGATCGCAGACGGGAGAGGGAAATTGAGCGTTTTGATCGGCTTGCCCTAAATGCCGTGTATTTTGGCGCGCCCACGGCGTGCACTCTTGGCTCATAGCCGGTGCGCTTGCCGCAGGCACGATCACTCTTAAAATGCCTAAGATTTTAGGAAACACGAAGCTGATGTTGGTGGGGGTCGCATCATGGCTGTTTTTAGTATTTGATTCTGAGACCAGTTGACACAGCCCTGCTGCCTCACCCCTTTTCCTTCGGAATGGCCGCCTGGCGGGGCCCTTTGCACTTGGCGCTTGCACTTCTTTCATGTAATTTCACTCACAGTTGTTTTCGAAAATGATTCTCTCATATCCCGCATCCCTTCTGCTTCCAAAAATACGTCACTCTTCACCTTCGTCACGTCAGTCTACGTTTTCACCTTCTTCAACAGCAGCTACGACCCCCTTTCGAAAATCGCAACTACGACCCCCCCCTTTCCCGAAAGTCGCAAATACTACTTCCCCACGTTCGTATTTGTTCCAACAGACGGTCAACCCTAACTGTGGGGCCCCGTGATTTTCAGCTACGTTCCTGCGCTGGAAATATCATAGTTGGGTTTTTATTGAAAACCATCGAAGAACAGCAGATATGAAAACTTTATTGAAATTAGCTGTAAGAAAAATTTCAGCAACCAGTATGCGGTATGCGCCATGCCTTTGTATAGCGCGAAAATATTGACGCAAATGTTCCAAAAATCTTGGGTAAAACGAGAAATTAGTTGAAGGCATATCGTGATCAACCGCGACGCGGTTACCGCTTCAGGATCTGCGGTCTACTGTCGTGCTGGGTCAGTATCCCAATCGTACGAGAATTGTTTGTTCCAGGCAGCCAGTGCGAGAACGAAGCGCTCACTTGTGCAGCGAGTCCCTGCCTCAACCAAGGAACGTGTATCGATACACAGAATGGCTTCTATTGCATCTGCCCATATGGTTTTGAAGGGAAAACATGCCAGAATGAGGTAAAGCTAATGAGAAGTCGATTGTCCTTCTCCTGTTAGGCGCTAATAGAAAACGGCCTACTATCAGTTCTTTTAGAAAGCAACCTCCATGTGCAAATGTCCGGACCCTAAACATAAGTGCACGTTAGTGGATGGAAAGCCGACCTGCTCATGCCCTCAAGGATTTACGGTAAATCTATCTGGTCATATTTGTTTAAGATAATTTTGTGACCCAAATCAGTCGAGGAGCATGATTTATAAGTGCTTCAGGGTCCGACTTGTGAAGAAAGCGTGCGCGGATGCGATTCCGAGCCCTGTCGAAACGGTGGACGTTGCCAGAACATTCCTGGCGGATTTCAGTGCTATTGCTCACCTGAATATGGTGGCGACACGTGTGAAAAGGCTATCAAGTGTCTCGTAGATGGTGAGAATTTTTTTGAACGGCTATTGGTGTGGAACCACTTACTTTTAAAACAAAAAAAAAGAACCACAATAAGGACGCGAAATCCGGTTTTCATCCGAAGTTGCTTTATGGGAATATGCTGTTCAGACTATTAAACGGCTAACAGTATTAAGGATAACTTGGGGGAGGAATGGTTACGTTTCGGCAATGACCGTATCTCTGAACGTTGTTACGGGCTGTTAGCTATGTCTGCCCACGCCTTAATTTAATGGACGGCATATGAAGAAAGGTGGAAAAACCTTGAAAACAGGGGATTCGAGCTTTCTTGCTCTACGCTGGGGAAGTCTTATACATACATAGTATGAGGAGATGAGAGATAATGCGAGTCGTGGAGAGGGCAAGAGGAGTCTGCGTAGAGAGAACAGAGCAGATCAATATTGCAACGCAGGTAAATATCGAGGTGGGCGCTCCTTGATAGTTTTGGTGGAACGTGATCAAAGTCTCTTAGCGCGCCTAACGTCTTAGTTGACGCGTTTCGATGTGCTAAGGAAGGTGGGGCGACCTCAGCAGGGACCACGCATCTCTATCCTCAGAACGACTACTTTAGTGAGAGACTGAACCTGGACCTTGCCTTTAACACATTGGCAGCTAGGCCACATAAGTAACGCATTTTCACGCGGAAGGAAACGTTCTGGTTGATCTGTGCCTACATTTTGTTTCTAAGGGCCTATATAATACGCTTATTGCTTGTTTGTGAAATATTGGTAAAATAGTAAATATGACTGCAAATTTTGTGAAAAAAAATAAAATGGTGGTATACAACGACGAGTCGTCAACGTTTCCAATTCCTTTGGTGCGGGCTACTAACCGAATTTATTTATTTATTTATTTATTTATTTATTTCAGCTATTGTTTACATTTAAAGTACAGGAATGTAATGAATAATCAATTGAAACACAGGATGACATAGTACAAGTGAAAAAAAGCTGCAATAAATGGATGATATTAACAGAGATATGAAACACAGAAATATAAATTAGAAGCATGTTTCATAAGATAGGAAGCATCAGATTTCAAGAGTTGCATAATTAGGATCGGGCAGCTCCGCGATGCACGGGACGGCATTGGGAAAGGTGAAGTAAGCGAGAAGTGCCGTGGCGGCAAACTGCAATCCGTTAGCTGAGATGTGATTGACTATTTGATCTGAATCAACTTCATCAAAGCAGGAGGTGCTGTTTCTGAGCAATATGCGTTTCATAGCTCCATTTTGGTTGGCGTTTGACAGGAGAACTGTAGAGACTAGCAGAACAGTGAAGCATGTGTTTTGCTGGTGAAGCCCAGCTATTGTAATTCAGAATTCTATTGTACACACTTTTCTTCTTTAGAAGCAGTTGTATGAAGTTTTTGTCATACAACAGTTTCCTTCCCAGTGTTACGATAAATTCATTTAGGGCTTACTGCCTCATGCTGGTCGGTGTGTCGTGGATTGTCGCAAACCCATTGGCGGAATTGTTGGCATATTTCACTGGTCCGCACTGCGAAGTATGACTGCCATCCTTCAAAGGACCGTTGCGATTCGAAGCATGCTCATGAGGTGAGTTCACTCTTCGATTTTGCAGCACATAACTAGCTTCATTCATTTATTCACTTGCTGGTGTTGTAGTGCAGGAGCCGCAAACGCAGAACGACACGGCCCCCCTTTTCTTTGTGGACTCGGTCTCGTGTCAATTTGGCTGTTGTAGTTCACCACCCAAGTTCATTTCACAGCATGAATTCGAAACATTGGGTGTTATTCAGATGCCCTTCTCTCCCACGAGGACAAATCATTTGATGGCATATCACGCGAAAGAGACAGGGAGCAGGGCAAACCTGCGTTGCGCAAATTCCTAATATTTTTATTACCACCATCCCTTTTAGCGGGTATGAGTACGACCCCCTGTATTAGCTATTTAGTTCGTTTTACATATTTCTAAGCCCATTCTTTCTATGGGCCTTCATAGAAAGAAGGTCTGGTGCGGCCAGGCAGGAAGCCCCGCGGAACTGTTGTTCTGTCGACAAGATGGGAATCGAGGCAACACGGAATTTCCCTCCGCAAAATGTCTGAGGTCTTCTAGAAAGTCAATCAAGCAAGTTCTAATTCTTCCACTTAGATTTGTTCTGAAAGCATCAAGATTCTTTGAGGAGTTTGTCTGCTCACGGCCGCTAACAGATAAAGCGTTTCGAAGTGAAAAATCCTGCTCGGGGTGCGCCATGCACCTGTCTGCGCTTAGCAGTCGCACTAGCATTTGAAAGCCCTCTCCTGGAGACGGTGATATGTCGGCGATTGTAATGGCGTGGTACCCGGATAGCCACTGTCAAACTTTGCGGGTGCTGTGATTCTGCTTAGCGATTTGAACAATTACCTCCAATTTCGGGGTTACGAACTTCGGAGCGAATCAGTGAGCAAATTGCTGGTGCATTGTTCTAACCACCGGTGGCGCATCATTCGCGCCCCTCGAATTGCAGAGAGTCCGTCGATTCGCTAGCGAAGCCACGGATTAGACGGCAAATGGCCGTGGGCTGACGTCGACTGGATACCGTATCGCCAACAAAAAAGTCGAACGCGCAGGACCATTTTCGCTTTTCATGAGCATCTGGGCTTAAGGGTTGACGTCATGTTAGGAAATGTTGAGTTCTACGCCCCTCCCCCCCCCAACGTGGCTGCAAAACTTCTTACGAAACTATTGTCAAGGTAGAGGGATTTGCCGTCGCATTCACAATGTAAATGTTGGGAAATTCTATGATTTCACTCTCATACAAAGGCGACTCCTTCGACTTCCACAATTAATTGGTTAGGAATGGTTGGACCTTCGGAAGCCTCAAATATAACCCTCCCCCCTCTAGGAATCACAAATGCGACCCGTGTTGGTGAATTATCAAAGGGCGGTTGGTCCTGTTTTGTACTACACCCGCTTGTCCATCTCCTGTAGGTTATGGTATTTTGAAAATGTGGAAGTATGTCAGATCTCGAAAAAAAAAGTAAAAAAACAGGAGCTTAATGAAACAGTGAAATGGGTCTTTCATCTGATGGAGTTGTGCGTTTACATTAAAAAGTTATAATATGAGCTTCAACTGAAGTCTTTAGGTATTTGCCATGTTGACGGTAATGTCGCTACCTGTGAGTGTCCGCCAGGGTTCACTGGTGAAAACTGCTCCGAACAAAACGTAACCACTTCTTCATCGTGTGCTACAAATCCATGCCAAAATGGTGGTACCTGTCAAGCTATAGGAGGTAATAATTTAAGTACAGCGTCAAGGTTTCACACATTTGGCGTTCCATCTAGGAAGCAAGCGTTTCACCTACTGATTCGCGTTCACCTCCCTGTTTGGTAAATACAGTATCACTGCTCTAACTAACGCTCTTCCAGTAACTCTCAAAGCCCACATTGATTGATTTTAGACCCGTTGGAGGACGGATTTCTATGCAGCTGTCGGGTTGGATTTGAAGGAAACCTGTGTGAACATGTGGTAATAGCATTTTACTTGAAGCAAGATTGCACTCGATTGCCCAAACTAATCCAGTTTATTCAAGACCACCGAATGGCAATCTTCTGTGGAGGAGGTAACTCTACTGTCAACGGCCTCATTAGCCGTCTCGCCAACGACGACAATCCCAACTACATCGGCCAGGTATTCACCACAGGTGAGTTCGTACAAAAAGAGATGTGTGAGAAGAGTCTCTACGGTTGGGGGTTGGTTCCAAGTTCTTCATAGATATCCACTTCATTTCTGCTTTTCCTTCGTACTTCACTAGAAACATCGTTATTGGCATTGTTGTAAACCAATCGAGACCGCGCGGTCCTCATGGTTTGGTGCTCGACAAGAAGCCTACTGCGCAGCGAAGGGCCGCAGACGTCGCAGCGAG